CCCCAAAACCCCAAAACCCCTCAACCACAAAATAAACTTAATTTGCGAGTATTAGATAAATATAATAAAACTAATAGAATTATTATAAGCTTTTTTTATTGATTAAATTCATAATGATAGTTTTGCATTTAGATATTTCAATTCTTCTTTGTTGAATCAGGCTATTTATTTTTGCTATCCTTTAATTCCAAAACATTGCTGTTGATCTCTTGAACTGTTTTGAAAATTTTCTTTATCATTTTCTCCATTTCGTCTACTCTATAAGTTAATTTCTAAGTATTTTTGCTTTGTTTATCTATCTTCTCAGTAAAACTTCTGCTTAGGACGTCTACCGAATTGTTTTGCCTTCTATTAAATATATGACTGAATCTTCTTTTCACCTTCCTAATTACATGCTTTTCATCAACATTATTGAATTCAGCATTTTCCTCCTCATTTAAATCACTGTCTCCAGTAAAGCTATCTTAGCCTGATGCTTTCTCTTTATAGTCAAGAATCTCTGTGTGAAGTTTACTATTATCCGTCTTTTCCTATTTATCTTCCTATGTTTCTTTAGACTTTTTGTATTTCTTTTTAATCTGCAGAAAATCTTTGAAATCGTTAATCTCCTTGCTACTTTTTTTAGGTGAAACACTTCGCCCACCAGCGTTTTTCTAAGTTTATTCACCATCTTCTAATGAAAAATCTGAGGATACCTGGCTTTCCTTTTCTTCATTAATTTATTTAAGTGACGCAGAGTTCTATGAAAACTTGGCTATTTTCTGCACATCTCTTATCGTCAAGTTTTTTTTGTACTTTTTGTTTTTATAATCTTGAATGGCTTGATTTTTTGAGACAATTATTTTAAGGTTTAAGGCTGATTGTAATCTAGTCAAGACATTTGAATTCATTTAAGAATTATGATTTCCCATTTCGTTTGCATTTTCCATCTATTTGATTGCATCAATTTTAAGTTTTAAGATCCTTTCAAGCCTTTTTAAACTATTGCTAAAGAGATCATCAAACACTTCAGGGAATTCTAGTTTCATTTTATCGAGATCATCAAGTGATAGCATTAGCAATTCACAATTAATAATAGCCTGTATTGTGAATCTCCTAAAAATGTCCTTGTTTTTTTAGGTGTTTTTCTTTATATTAGTTTAAATGTTCAAGATTTCTGGGTCATAAACCAAATCAATATGACCAAAATGATCACCTTTGTCTATTTTTATATATATAGTGTTGTCAAATCTAGGAATAACATAACCCGCTACTCCTTCTTCTAGAAAGAAAACTAAAAATTACATAAACATAAAATCTTAACTTACTTTCTTTAACATCATCTCCTTCCTTATAGATATATTCTTATTCAGACACTAAAGTTGGCCTTAAAAGAGGACAGACCCAAATGATGAAATTCATATTCTGTTTCTTAAAGAAATCAATCTCCTTGTAGATTTCTTTATGAATTTCAAATGCAAGCTAAATTTTGAGTTTATGTGGAAGTTCATTCATGAATTTAGCAATATCATGATAGCTTTTACTATGATAGTGCTTGATGGTCTTTCTAATCTCATCAAATAATTCTGGCTTTATTTCATATTTCCCTCTTAATTCATCAAGAGTTGCCATCTTTTCTTTCAGTTTTGCCTAAGTTGCATCGTAGCTTGAAATAATATTAGATAGTGCACCTGTTGCATAGGAGAATGAAATGACACCGATTATCATTAGAAAAATTGACATGAATTTCTCGCCTATGCTATAGGCATGGATATCGCCATAACCTACAGTAACAATTGTTGTAACTGTAAAGTAGAAGGAAGTTATATAGAGCGTGTAATTGTCATAATCTTAAAAACCGTTTTAAAATATCCAATTTATTTTAGAACCTTCGTCGAATTTACCTGTGTATATCCTAAAATATGTAATAAAAAATTTATTTTTACCATAAGCAAGCAGTTATATGACACATCACTAGGAAAATAACAAGTAAAAACAGTAACCTCTCAAATCCAACACCAATTGACAAGAATTGGTTTAAATACTTGACGAATTTGCTTCTTTATTTTACAATCTTTAGCATTCTTACAAGTCTAGTCATTTTCACAATTTTATAAATCTTCCCTATCCTAACTACTCTCGCTAGTCTATTGTAACTTCCGGATTCATAAATATAGTCAAATGGAATGATTGAAAGAAAATCAATAGTAAACCAAGATGTAACATAATTTCTTGCAATTAGGCTTCTATCATCTACCAATTCAAAATCTTTGTCATAAAATGCAGAGTGGAAGTTGATGAAAATATCAGCGAGGAAGATACAATCGAAAATTGTATTAACTATCATCCATTTCAGTTCATTGGTATTTAAAAATGCTATAGCATAAGGACTCTAAATGCAAGTATACAGCAGCAGCCTATAATTAATATATGTTACAAATATTTAAAATCTTACAATGTAATCAAGATATCCCATCTAGTTTTAAATTTGCTTCCTGGGTAGATTACATATGCCTTTTTAGTGAATTTTCTTGGTTCTTAATCCTATTCTCCATCAAAAGTGGTGTCCTTTGACATGAAATCTGTCTTTAAAATCTCATCACTCAAAACATTTTTTCTGCCTTTACCTTTTTTGCTCTTCCTAGACCTAGTCAAATCATTCTTGGCTTGAGGTCCATTAAATTCAGAAACTTTGCCTTCTTCCTGATCTGGCTTTTAATTTTAAGGGGATTACTTAACTTTGAAAATGTTCATAATACTTGATACTCCTCTTTTAAAAGAACCTGTTATACCAATTTCACTTGCTGATTTTTGCACCATTAAACCATTTTTCATCCTCATTGTTTGCATCTTCATTAGCAATGCTTTACCAACATTTTTCTTGATTTAGTTCTCAAAATATTTTGTACTATCTCCTTATGAATTAAGAGGTGAATCTAGCTTGTCAACGTCTTTGAGATTAATAGGTTTGAAAAGTTTCGTCCTAATGTTGTGGCTCAGAATTTCATGAATTGGCAACTTCAGTTACTTCCTCCTTTAATCTTACGTAATATCTTTTACTTATTCTGGGAATGCTGTAAATGCTCTAGATCTAGCTTGAGAGCTAGAATTTTCAAGATCCTAATTATCTAACTATGGTTCTTCCTAGCTTTTAACCTTCGAAAGTTCAAATAATAAACCTTTTGGAGGGGATGGGAGTCTTAGCTATTCTTGATCTTATTTATTCAACAGTTGTTCAATATCAGAATTTATTTCAAAAATCGGTTATTTCTTATCATTGAAATCTTGATTCTTTTTAGCTCCCCCTATTCTAATAGAATCACCATCTCTGAAGATGTTATTTTAAGGTAAATCGAAGAAGCCATTCGTTAATTTTTCATTGCTGTTGCTTTTGTTTTAACTGTTGCTAAAGTTTTTATTTTTTTCCTTTCTTTAATGACACTGGTCTAGATGCTTTAGGGAAAATAAAGTGGCCTCTTAAGTATTCTGACATTCATGTATTTGCTTCGATTCGAACTTGCTATCATTGAGATCTTCTAATGAAATTTTTATGTCATCATTGTGTATAATGCTTTTAGAATTATGAATTCCTTTATCATAAGGTTAAGAGGTTTTATCTAAAATTGCTGATGTCTCTGTTCCATTAGCCATATTATTTGATTCATCATTACTCAATCCTTAGATAAATGGTGAGATCGATAATTCCAGCTTGAGACTACTTTTTTATTCATCTTCATTGTTTTTCCTATAATTCTATTCTTCATCATTGTCTCCAGGATGCTGTGGCTTTTTGCTCTTGAAATTAATTTTCATGGGAGGATTATCCATCATTTTTTTCTCTTTAATATTCATAAAATAAATTGATGTTTTAGATTATTTGTCTAGTTTGATTAAATATTATTCAAATATTGATTTAAATTTGATTTTTAACTTAGTATACTTGAATTTACCCAGAGGGGTTTTGGGGTTTTGGGG